AGAATTTATTAAGAAACACATAGGTAAGACTCTTGCATCTATGCAGGCAACTCAACATGATTCTAAAAGAAGAAAACTTGATACAAAAAACATTATAAAGGAAATATGATTATGAGATTATTAATCAGTTACAGAAATCTATGAAAAAGTTATGAGAATTGGCTTTCCTAAGTTACTTAGAGGGTTCTGGTGATCCTGGCTTCAGAGTCAAAGCCAAGATTGTAACTCCTTATTGAGGATGCACGAAGCTGGCACATGACCCACACACATGAGAAGAAGAGGATGGGGGGAGTCCTCTGCACTCCAGCAAACTGATTCAGAGCTTTTATCAGGCCGATGAGTCACAGAAATTATGATCCAGCGTGCTGCTTCTCAGCAGTCTAGAAGGTTCATTAGTTTCCATAATGGCAAGTCAGTTCACAGAGGTGTTTGTGCAGACGGTNCAGTGTCACTGGCCCTCATATGTGGGATCCAAACCGGGGCCCTCTGGCATCCCAAGCGAGTTCTTAACCATCGCGCCACTCGGCCGGCCCAGACTGCAACTTCTTAATTTGTCGATTAGTTCTATGAATGAAAAGGGGGCTCTGTAATAAATCAGTGACTGAAAGTAACCTCATAAGATGACCTGGTAATAAATTCCTAACTGGGTAGGTCATGGTGGGTAGTCACACCCCAGGCCTATAATTTCTTAGTTAAAGGCTTATCTTTGCCTTAAGTAAGCCCTGCCCATTTTTCTTGTGCATCTAGGTTGACATGCCTTTGAAATGCCAGACTAATCCTCTTTTTCAGACCCCTTGGAGCATATAATCTTGTTAAAGATCCTGTAATCCAATCATTTAGATTTCCTTGCCCTCCTTTTTCCTGCCTTCATGTAATCTTCCGTACATTCCTTCCTAAATTCCAAGTGTATAAAAAGAACTGCAAAACTGTCATGTTCCAGTATATTCGAGATCTTGCTTTGCATCATGGTCATCAGTTTGGCTCAAATAAACTCACATAAAAATTCTCTATGGGTTTAGACATTCTTATGTCAACAGTTCTAAATTTTTTTGATGTAGTGACTAGGTTTTTCTATATATAATATTATGGCATCTGCAAATAGAGTCAGTTTTACTTCTTCCTTTCTGATTTGGATACCTTTTTTTTTTAATTATGTTTTTTGACTAATTGCTCTGGCTAAGACTTCCAATAATATGTTGAATACAAGTGGGGAGAGTGGGCATTCTTGTCTTGTTCCTGATCTTGGAGAAGAAGTTCTCAGATTTTCACTATTGAGTATGATATTAGCTGTGGCTTGTCCTATATGGACTTTATTATATTGAGATACGTTCCATCTATACTCGGTTTTTTTGAGACTTTTTGCATAAATGGATGTTGAATTGTGTCCAGTCCTTTTTCTGCATCTATTGAGGTGATCGTATGATTTTTAGCCTTCATTTGCTCAGACCAACTTCCTCCTGCCAGATTTTTGTGTCTTAGGGCTCTCTTCATGGCAGCAGCAGAAAGCCATGCTGCCTGTGTGAGCATCACTAAGAAAAACATTCAACCAGTGATTCTGGAGACCCGTTTCTAAGGACTTCAGCTCCTTTGTTTGTCAAGTAGGAGAATTCTAAAGTGTATGTTTAAATCATTTCTGAATATTTCCTCTCAAGTTTAAGCTTCAGTTGCAAACCATTACCTACATCATTTCCTCAATTATCTGCCAGTGTGATCTACACATCCTAAATAAACTATGTTCACTTGAATGTTTTTCTCGGATATTTTTTTCTAAGAAAGCAAACTATGATGTGAACTTACCTCTCTTAGTCTTAATTTCTTCTTCTCTAAAATGGGAATATATGTTTACCAACCTTGAAATCTTTATCAAGAATTAAAGTTATGTACATAAAGCATTTAACGAATATTTAGCAAACAGCAGGCAATCAAGAACATGTTGCTTCATCATCTGGTTCACCCAAACACACAGCAAGAAACAGCAATCAGCAAGTTTGGACTTGGCAGTCTCTTCAGAACATCCCAGATACACAGTCTCAGAAGTTGGCATGTGTCCTGAACACCGACCTTGTTATCTCATCAAAGATACCTCTACTGCTCTCAGTGGGGTAACCCAGATCCCAACTGTTATATTCCTTTCAGAGCCCGAATCAAGCCTTAACTCACTGAATGATCAGGCATCATTATTGTGCAGGACAGAAAACACCAGCCTTCTTTCTATCATGAATCCTGTGAGCACACAGGCTCTTCTACTTTCCTTTCTCAAATTCTTCAGATTCCCATAGACTCAGAAGTTTTATTTTCCCTCAGGTGTCTCATAGTTGCCTCACAAAACACAAGAGGTTACTCTGTTCCCTTAGATGGTTCAGAGGTTTTGGATTACTCAATGTCATAAATGCCCATTACATTGTGTCTCATGCCCTGACTTTGTCCTTACTTAATTTTAAAAAAATCATTTAGTTCAGAAGGGCACATTGCCATAAATTTGAGGAATACAACATGTGGTCCATTTGGGGGGCAGAAAATGACGTATTTCCTTGCTCTGTTGCTAGACACTCAGAAAGCAATTCAGAATTAGATTTGCTTGAGACTAAGGAACAAAACCCTTTAAATGTGATTCTCATGAGGACATAAGGATGCCAAAAATTATTGGATGCAGAAGAATTATATGAGTGACCTGACAGCACCTGAGACAGGAAAGGCTGGCTCCCTGCATTTATGAGAACTGTAAATGTAGCCCCTGCTGCCGTAACATGGAGCTGCAGGTGCCGGGGTGTAAGACACTGACTTGGATAAAACGTTATAGACATATAAATTTTAAGATTATATTCTCTATTTCTGTGGAAAATGCCCTTGGTAGTTTGATAGGAATTGCATTGAATCTAAATATGGCCTTAGGCAGTATGGACATTTTAACTAATTCTTCCTATTCATGAGCATGGTATGTTTTTCCATTTATGTGTATCTTCTTAATTTCTCTCTTCAGTGTCTTATAATTTTCTGAGTACATATCTTTTACTTCTTTGGTTAAATTTATTCCTAAGTATTTTATAGTTCTTGAAGCAACTGTAAATGGGGCTGTTTTCTTAATTCCTCCTTCTGATATTTTGTTATTGGTGTATATAAATGCTACTGATTTCTGAATATTGATTTTGTATCCTGCTGCCTTACTGAATTCATTTATCAGTTCCAATAGTTTTTTGGTGGAGTCTTTGGGGTTCTCTATATAGAGTATCATGTCATCTGCATATAATGACAATTTGCTTCCTCCTTGTCAATTTGGATGCTTTTTATTTTTTTTCTTGTCTGATTGCTGTGGCTAGAACTTCCAGAACTATGTTGAATAAAAGTGGAGAAAGGTGGACAGCCTTGTCTTGTTCCTGATCTTAAGGGGAATGCTTTTAGCTTTTTCCCATTGAGTATGGTGTAAGCTGTGGGTTTATCATATATGGCCTTTATTATGTTGAGATATGATCCCTCTATTCCCACTGTGCTAAGAATTTGATCATAAATGGCTGCTGGATTTTGTCAAATGCTTTTTCTGTATCGATATGACCATATGATTTTTACTTTTCATTGTGTTGATGTGGTGTATTGCATTAATTGATTTGCAGATATTGAACCAACCTTGCATACCAGGAATAAACCCCACTTTAAAAAAAAAAAAACATTATAGACACACATTGTATATACAAGAGATTATTTCTTCCATTATCAAAGTAGATCAATTACACGTCTTACTAGACCTCAGTACTCAGTATCGTTACTACTTGTATTGACTTGTAAATGTAAGTGTCCTTAAGCAGAAGACCCTGTCCTGGATCTGAGTCCATCTATTAGCTACATGGCATTACACAATCACATTTTCTCATCCAAAAATGCGGATAATAATTCATGGAGTTCCATTGGATACTGCATATGGATGGTATGCAACAGGTATATGAGTTCCTGTATAAGTAAAACTGAATAGTAACAGAAAACACAATGTGGGGTTAAAATGGTACAGATTTTATTAAGAAGCATATAAGTAAGATCACTGCATCTAGGGAGAGGTTTCAAAACGATCATAAAAACAAGAAATAAGATAAAGGACTATGGGTATATTAAAAATAAAATATGATTATGAAGATACTGATCAGTTGCAGGAACCTATTAAAGCATTATGAAGATAAGGTACTTAGAGGGAGCAAGAGATCCTGACCTCAGAGTCAAAGTCAAGAGTGTAACTCCATATCAAGGATGCAGGAAACTGACACATGACCACATACACAGGAGAAGAGAACTGAGGGAAGTCCTCTGCCCTCCATCGAGCAGCTTCACAAGCTTCTAAATAGGCTGAAGAATAACAAACATTTTGATGATGACATGCTGGTTCTCATCAAAGTCAAGGAAGTGAATTTTTCCATATAGCAAATCATTTAATAGGCGGTATTTTGTCCAGTTGGTCATTCTTTGGCAAAATGATCATCAGCAGGAAGACTGGCAGCATCTGGACACACAGCATGGGCGGCAACAAGGCTGGCAGCAGCTGGACACACAGCAAGGGCGGCAGCAAGGCTGGCAGCAGCTGGACACACAGCA